TTTGAAAAAGCTGGTGCCAGGTGCTGTTGCTGCTGTAGTTACAGCGTCCTGGGATAGACAGTGGCCTTCTCCAGGACTGAAAGGTTTGTGTATGTATTAAGTCTCATAAAGGGACATTTGTTATGTGTTTCTTATGAGGCAAGCACAAATCAGGTGAAAATTATCTCTAAATTCTGTAGAGCACCATAAATGAGAAAATAGGAGGAGGGAGAAGGACAAAGGAATTCACGGTATTTGGGAGTGATACCTTTCTTTAATAGATTCAGGATCTGAGCCAGCCTCTACGAAAATCAATTGAAAAAACACCTGCTAGCTCCTGTGGGCTGAAGATAAAGCTTTTAATGATGAACTTCTCTTAGCACTTGCACCAAAATGCTGCAGTTTAGGCTCCTGAGTTACTGCTGGATGCCTTTCTCATGTGCCCACATCCCCACCCATGCAGAGATGCAGCTGCAGCCTGTGAAACCCGTGCAGCTCCTCCGGCACAGGCTGACACTCTCCCCTGTGCTCCCCTGCCAGCACCTGCAACCCAGCTATCCTGCTCGCCCCAGGTGACAATGTCAGCGCTGGCACAGGGGCCTTGTGTCACTGCACCCCAGTTTTGCCACCTTTCCCCCCTTGCTGCAATCCCAGAGGCAGAGATTCCTTAAAGTACAAGGGGAAGGAAAAGGATGGAAACAGGGTTTTCATCTCCGCTGCCAGTTCTAGCTTGGCAAGGATGCTTCCAGCTCTAATAAACCAGATGATCAAAGCCTTTGTGTAAATCCTGCCATCAGGAGAGAGAGGTTGTATCACTGCACTGACAGCACACCAGAGCCCCGTGCTGCTTCCCCAAATCCTGCTTTTTCTTGATTGCAAGCTCTTGGCACCCGGATCATCTCCCTCCAGCCCAACACGGGAGGGCAACTGATACCCTGGAGAGAGTAACCTTTCCAAACAGTCTTCTTTTTCCTTCTAGTAAGACAGACATTTAACATACATATGAGTGATCTGGGGCCATATGTTTTTTTTTCAGCCTTCAAAATTATACTTCTTTTCCTTCCAGCCTTTTGAAAGATGCACATCGGAGGCACCTGAGAGCAGCCAAAGCAGCTGCCTGATAAGACCTTTACAATTCATTAGCACAACCCTGCCTTTTGCAAAGGAAAAAAAAAAAAAAAGAAAGTGTTAACGAGTTGACAAGCACACTCTTCCTTGCAGGGAGCAGCGCTGCCAGCCGCAATATTACTGCAGGGAGGAGAGAGCAGGGTGGTGGCAGAAGACCTTGGAAAAATGCTTTGTTCAACCCGGTTACAAAGACGCCTGCTTCCTTAATGCACCAAACCTCAGCTGCAACGCAAGGGGTTCAGCAGGAACTCGACTTGGTGAGGATGGAGGGCAGCGTGTTGCTATCGGGGTTTCAAGGATGAGTCCTTGGGGTGGAAAGAAAGAATGTTTAACCAGGAAGGATCAAAGCCAAAAAGGAGCGTTTGCTCAGCGTGTGGCTCCTGTATCGCTGCCGGTTCCAGGTTCTGACCTGACGACCACAAATAACGGCCCGACAGTGGTTTTTGCCCTCTGAAGCTGCCATTTGCAACCAGATCCTCACATTATGCAAATTTCCCCATCTCAGTTCAGCCCGAACACACACACACAAAAAAATCCTGCTTAGGAGAGAAAGGACGAAGAGAGGATTTCAAGAATAACTCAGACGAGCGAGTGAATATTTTCTTTCATGCCTTGCTTTTTTGCATTTACTGAATTTGTTCCACATGAATGTAGAAACAGCTGCATCAGCACCAGCACTGAGGGCTGGAACCTTATTAATATTTATGCCTGGAAAGCAGAGCACACAGGAATCAACATGCCTTCCTGCCATTGGTTAGGGGACCCCAGCCTCCACACAGCATCTTGCCGTGCTTGGTGGCCAGGCAAGCAGATTTATTAGAGAGCAGATCAATTTCTCATCAGCGCTCTCACCCGATCGCAAGAAAACTGCCCTTTGCCTCCTACCTGCTCTTTGCTTCACATCGTTCAATAATTTCCTAATTAGGGACACCATTTTTCATCTCTCTTTCGCGCTTCTGTGATTTACATTCTCAGCTATTAAATACAGTTGGATACATTATTAGGTGCTTGAATTATTATGATTTCCTGATATAAGGACAGAGTTTAAGCTTTAGTATGAATGAGATGAAATGAGGCAATGCTGTAACAGGTCCAGCATGTGCTGAGAGGATGGAGTTCACGACACGTGGTGCTGGGCACATGGAAGGTGCCAGTGTGACCCTCAGAACCTCCTTTGGGACTTCTTACTGCTGTAATTTTTGCTGACAAGGTGCCACCTTGAGAGTCCTTAATCTGAGGCTGGGGGGATTCCTTTCTGAGAGTGCTGAGGGGGGTTCTGGCCAGCAGCCCTGCTTCAGCTTTTGTTTCAGGAGAGCAATCCTTACCTTGGCTAATAGCGAGGAACTGGTGAGCAGGCATGTGCTCTCAGCAAACCTGAAACATTCACATATTTTTAACTATTTGGTAGAAACACTGGCTGTAGCAGCAGTAAAAGGGAAAAAAAGAAGTAAATCCTGTGGTATGGCTGAAGCTGGTTGTGGAGAGGACATGTAACAGCCCCAGACAGCTGCACCAGCAACCCCCAGCTTCACCCCTGCTGAGGCCAGGGGTGCACTGGTGGGGGCTGTGGGGCAGGTGGGGCCTGGGACCCCTCTGGTGAGTGTGGCCCAGGTGGACATGGGGGCTGTAGGTACAGAATGGCCAAAGCCCAGGCCTCAACCCTCTGGGGCTTGTGGAGTGACTGGGAGCCCACCCAGTAGCCAGACTGGTGTGGGGTCATCACTGATGGTGCGGCCACCCCAAGTCACTGCCAAGTCCTGGGCCACCCCGGGCACGTCCCATTGGGCACACGCTGCTGTCAGTGCTGGGTACTGTGGCCCAAAGACAGCTTGGCTTTGGTGGTCTCTGGGGTGAAGCGTTGCATGGACAGGCAGAGCCAGCCACTGGTGTGCTGGGCGGGCAGGGGTGGGCAGGGGGAGGAGGGCTGGCCTTTGCTGCTCCCACAGACATCTTGTTTCAGACACCTCCCTGTTTTCTTCCTTTAGGATCGCACAGTTTTCCCCGCTGGTGTTGATGCTCCCCTGTCCTTGAGCTACTAACCATCACGTTCCTATAATCCTATCTCTTGCTGGCGGTTGTACCTTTTCTTATCGGGCGTGGTGCTGCACTGCTGACTTTCCCATAGTTTAGTAATTTTCTAGAGAACCTGGGGAGACACCACGCAGCTGGACCGTATACCAGCAAGGACTTTTGTTGGGGGCAAGGCTACCAAGGGTCACAGTTAGGACATGGTCATGGCTGCTGCCAGCCTTGTCTGCCTCTTCTCCTTTCCCACCAGCTGGCACAGGTTGGTCCAGACACTAGTTGGTTGCCTGCAAGCGACCAGTATGCAACAAAACCAAGAAGGGCTGCAGAAATGAAGACCCCCAACAAAAATTTTGTTTGCAGAGATACAAAATATTACCTCGCCCTGGGTCCTATCCTGAATTCCTCCCGAATGTATCCAGAGTCCTCCCAGCCTGGCCCTCCGCCCAGTTACAATGATACACGCTGAGGAACAAAATGTTGCTTTGCCCTAAATGACATAATGACTTGCCCTAGACACAGGTCCAGCCTGGTCAGTGGCATAGGACCTCAACTTGAAAGAATCCAAGCCTCTTTATCACTTTTAATAAACTACAGCATCCTGCCCCTCAAGATATGGAAAGCTTAGGTGGCAGTCTTGGCGGTTTGGGCATAACTTCAAGGTCTTTAAGTCATTCACATCCTTCTGAGAGGAGCCACAGACAAGGACATGACCCATGAAATGGGATGCTGAGCCATGAGATGAGTGCATGTTTTCTGAAAGGAAGACCAGGTTTCCCTTTAGGAAAAACCTTCTAATGACCCACAAACTGTGCTGCAGTACATCACACAAATTCACATATTTCCTATTATAAAGTAAAATGACTGAGTCCTCCCCTTGCGCTTTTGTTAGCTGGTTTTTGCAACCTTCTGCATCCTGCAAGGCAGTCGGGACTTTCACCAGTGACCACTTCAGGAACTTAAGAGGGGGGCTCTGAGGGTGATCGCACCCACCCTCGTAGCTGGGAGGACGGGAACCACGAGAGCGAGGGGGGAGAGGATACATCGGATAAAACTGGGTTGATCCTCTGGGCTTCATTAAACAAACTCTTGACTGAGGTCATGTTGTTCCTCCTCTCCTATGTCTGGTGAGGATGGCTGTGGAACAACACCATGAGCCATTTCACCCACCCTGCCACCGGTTCCGCAATCCCGTACCCACCCCGCTTTTACACCCTGGGAAATCACCCGGGCGAGTGAAAATGTTGCAGGCTTTTTTTTTTTTCCTTTTTCTTTTTTTCTTCTTTTTTTTTTTTTTAATACCTATATAACCATTACTAAGTACATACATACATTAATGAAGGACTCACAAAGCCTGTGCTATTTAATAAGGAGCTGCTCCTTAAGAAGTTGTTCATGGAAATGAAGTGACCTGTGGTCATGCTTGTTTGTTTCACTTCAGAAATTTCAGAATAATGCCTTGAAATGTAGTTTTGACAGTCCACGGAGATTTCAAGCGACAGGCCTCATACCCCAGTTTCTTGCTTTTAAATTGTACTGGGACCAGCTGGTGGTACAGAGTATTCTTTCTGTCTTGTTTCTTGTATGCAGTTGCTGCAGTCATAAAGCAATTTGGAGGGAATGTGCTCTTTACGAAGAGGAAGGGGGGGGCGGTTGCCGGGGTGACTGGGGATGGAGGAATTCAGCCAGGGCCGGCCCCGGGGCTGGGGCAGGGGCTGCGCTCACAGACACTGGATGTGAGGCAAATACAGAGAGGGGAGAGAGGGGGACGGGCGGCTAACAAACAGCTGAACACATCATTTCCCAGCAAAGCCAGTTGCAATGAGCTGCGCCCAACCTTTGGGAAACCCTCTGTCTCAAACGCTTACCTTGGAGTTCAGCCGGACCTTGCCCGAAGTCTTCTGAAGTGATCCAAATGGCTGCTGGGCCCCTCTAAAGGGTCTTGTCCGGGGGCTGCAGAAAAGCTAGACCTGGATTTCCTCCCTCATCCCCCCATAATGCAGCTGTTTATTTTAGAAATCGGTACTTCATGTTGTTGTTTTTTTTTTTTTTCTTCCAGTCTCAACAAGTTCTGTACAGAAGGTGTACTTGAACCTTCTTCCCCTCCCCCCACCCTTCAAGAACGTGAACTAATTTATTTTAAGATAAAGCAGTTGGGGTGGGTTTCTTTCCTCTGGTGTTAATAATCTGTTTTCCTTGAATAGGATTTTAAAATGGCTTCCTTTGAAGCTTCAAGCTGTTAGGAACGAGCTTAACATAGGTACGGAGGGCGTGTAAAATCAGCTACTCCCTTTCAGGCTGAAACGTCAATAATTCTTCTAGTAAACGGCTAACGTACCGTGTACGACAGGCAGGATACTCGGAAATCGTAGTAGCGAGGACTTTAGGGTACCTGGATTTTGCACCAGCTCTGCCGTAACGGGGTTTTGCTGGCACAGTGTTTTTCAGGAGCACACCCACCGCAGCCATGGGGGAGACTGGCGTGGCTTTCAATCATTACCTGGAGCGGTCAGTGGGCCAGTAATTATAGATGTGGATGTTGATTAAGCAGTTAATATGCCACCAAAAAAATAATAATAATAAAGCTACACATTGTTTGCAAAGTGTAGTCAACCAAATAATTAAACCACTCCTGGCTCAGACCAGTAAAAACAGATTTTACAGGGAGGGTAAGTGAACAGATTTATTTTTCTCAAAATCCCTATTGACGAGACAAACCTGAGAATTTATTTTCCAGCATCCCCTTTTGGAGCCGGGATGCTTTCTCCCCGTAAGGAGAACAAAAGAAAGGTGGGGATGCTTCGGCATATCAATTAGTGGAAAGCGGGTTGTTCTGCAGATCGCCTTGGAAGAAGGTACTATCAGAGGGAGAGTGCTCCACGGGCAGGGTTATCGATCTGCATAACGCAGGGTAGAGAGATTAGGGGGATCGGCACATGGGCAGAACAAAGGAAGGAGTGGATGGAAGAAACGTGCGCTGGAAACGGCGATGAACTTTTATTCGTAGCGCTAGAATAACCTCAGCTTTAAAATAGCGGGTAATTGAAGCGGGGTTTCGCGGGGTACCGCCCGGTGCTGGCTGCGGGGAGCCTGCCTGCGCTTGCCGGGGCTCCGGGCAGCCCCCCGGGGGTGCCGCCCCCTCCCTTCTACCGGACGCACCGGTACAAAGCGGGGTGTGAAACGGGCGGTACCGGCGAGGAGCCGACACCCCACGCTGACCGCACCAGAGGGTGCCGGGCGCGGCGCTGACCCGCGCTGCCCTGCCGTACTCTTCCTCCCCCCCGACCTCCTTCTCCTCCTCCTCCTCGGGCTTGTGCCCTGCCCGTCGGTTCTGCAGCCCCCGTGATGCCCGCCGTACCCTACCGAGCTGCTCGAGTAGAAACCGGGGAGAGCATCCCTGGGGGGCACATGTTCAACCCTCCCTTGCTCTCCCCCCCCCGCCCCCCGACTCCTTTTCAGCTCCTCTCCTTTCTTCATCCCTCACCACGTGTAAACCCGCAACGAACCCACCGAGCGCTGCGGGTTTGCAAGACCCGGTTGCTGCAGAGCTCGGGGGAAAATACACCCCCCCTCACCCCCCTCAAGCTCGG